GTAAAGGTTAAACTCTCCTCAACTATTAGTAGCACTGTGCCCACTTTTGGGTACATTTTTGGTGCTAGATTGCTGCTAGAACACCCAGTAATACAGGTGCACGCCTCCCTTTGGCAGGAGAGCAGACAATTTTTGACTGCAGTGAAAATGTTGATTTCAAAAGGCCAAACGCAAACAAATGTGGATTAAAGCAGAATATTTTGTTAGATATAAACATTCTGGAAGTGATAACATCTGTCTTTATTTCAGTACATTTTGACTTGGACTTAACAACATTGTTGAGTTATTGAAAATGTCAATCCAGCCACCACTGGAATCTAATTCTACAAATAGTATAATACTAATATTATTAGTGTAGCCTGATCGTTATCTGCAGCTGTGTAGAAATAACAGGTTTAAACAAAATGAATAGACATGAAACAAAGGACAAGCTGTGGAGCGTTCGAATGTTGATTTCGAGCTTAAAGGGATAGTGCACCCAAAAATGAAAACTCAGCCATTATCTACTCACCCATATGCCGAGGGAGGCTCAGGTGAAGTTTTAGAGTCCTCACATCACTTGCAGAGATCCAAGTGGAGAGGAGGTAGCAACACAACTCCACCTAATGGAGGCTGACGACGCCCCAGATTCAAACGTCCAAAAACACATAATTGAAACCACAAAATATCTCCATACTGCTCGTCTGTAGTGATCCAAGTGTCCTGAAGCCCCGACATAAAACCACTTGGATCACTACGGACGAGCAGTATGGAGATATTTTGAAGAAGCTTTAAACTCTTCTGTTCGGTTACAATAATAATAATATAGTTTTGCATTTGACAGTAGCAGTTATGAGCTGATGGTAATAATACAGTAGCAATAGTAATGACACAGTACTGGTCATTTAAACACAGCTTATGAGCTGACCATTAATTTAGGATAAGCTCAAGCTAAAGGCAGCGGAGACAATCAGGAAGCATTTGTGAGGTGTTTATCAGGTGTAGCTGGGAGAGACAGACAGACAGACGAAGATGAGGGGATGAATGGACAGACAGGCAGACAGACAGACAGACAGACACATAAACATACACAGGGATTATCCTTTGTGTAATCCTCAGTGTGAGGGTCAGAGTGCAGTGTAAAGAGACAGGCATGTTCAAAATTTTCACACCAACAGTGTGCGTGTGTGTAGACGTGCGCATGTGTGTGTTTATCGCTACGGGTAAATGAAAACGCAGTCACAGTGTGTATCAGTGTGTTTACCAGTCGTTATGTGAGTGTGTGTTTACATGTGCGTAGAATCCGTTTATGTGTGTTTGCTATATCTGTGTGTATGCATGTGTCATTGCGTGACAGATGGACAGATCGTACAAGAGAACAGCACAGATTAGGATTCTGCACTGTGTGTGTGTGTGTGTGTGTGTGTGTGTGTGTGGTTATTTCAAAACCAAACCAGGGCTCAGTGACTGTCATCTGTTGGAGTGTAGAGCAATACTTTGAAAAGCTGTGAGCTTGTTGTGTCACTGTTCAGTGTTTGGGGTGTCCCAGTGTGATCTGCTGGATTGGATTTTTAATTCATTAGTTTGAGCTGAGTGACGGCCCATAGATTTACACTTTTTCAGTGCTTAGTTAACTGGAACCTGTTGCACTCAGTGTACTCTAGCTGTTGGAAACAAGCAGTGTAGCTCAATTAAAACATGAACACACAGTCGTCGATCATTTGAACTCATTTCATATCCACACTCACAGCAAGTGTTTATGTTGTTTATAATACTAATTTCCCTGATGTTTAAAGGGAAGTTTAAACTTGGACTAGACGACTAGTCAGCAAGAGGGGTCTGTGTTTGAACCCACTTCTGTGCTAAGTTTGCATGTTCTCCCTGTGTCAGCGTGAGTTTTCTGCACATTCTCCAGCTTCCTCCCACAGTCCAAAGACGTGCAGGTTAATTGGTCACTCAGAATTACCCGTAGGTGTGAATGTGAGTGTGAATGGTTGTCTGTCTCTATGTGTCAGTCCTGTGATAGTCTGGTGACCAGGCTCCAGCACACCTGTGACCCTGTACCAGGAAGTGAATGAAATGATTAGACGACCAGTCTAAAAGTAAGAAAACCCTCAGAAAACTGTCAAAATTGAGCACAGTTTAATCTATAAGGTTTAACATTGTCTGACAAATAAGTAGGTGTATTATAAAAGCCAAATGAAATTGTTAATCACATTTTTTAAAAACCAAATTGCCGCCTAGATGTGCGGCAATTTGCTCCGTGCATAATGAACGTTGCACATTACCCATTACATTACATTAACAACTCACTAGAGAAACGTTATCAAGCAATATTTATATATTTAGTATTTATTCAGATTCAGATTCAGAATACTTTATTAATCCCCGGGGGGAAATTGTTTTTGTTCCAATGCTCCGTGCAAAGTAGAAATAGAAATACAGCATGAATGGAAACAAGAGATAAAGATGAAGATATAAATAAGATACTAAAATAGACAATGAAATAAATAAAATAAAATATTAAAGTAGACATTAAAATAAAATAAAATAAAATATTAAAGTAGACATTAAAATAAAATAAAATAAAATATTAAAATAGACAATAAAATAAAATAAATAATAAAATAGTAAAGTAGACAATCTGAAATATATACAATATACAATGAAATGGTTGTAGAGTTATAAATGAAATAAGAATGAGTAATTATATTGTGTGTTTTGTTTTATAAATAGCCAAATGAGTCTGATCATCAGAGGGAGGAGTTGTACAGTTTACCATCTTGACTTATCTTCATTCAAAAACACACACTCACATAGTACTGCCTTCATACATGGGTGTGCATGCAAATTGACACACACACACACACACACACACATTCGTCCAGGCTTGTTGGAATCTCTCGTGCTCTCAAAAGCATCTCTATGCCACCTGGCTGCCATGAGTGTGTGTGAAGCTCAGACATACCTTCCTTGGTAAACGGCCACAGACAGCTGCAGACTTGTACCTGTCGAATGCACATGGCTTCATCCATTGAGTATGAGAGTGCACCTGTGTGATTGTGTGTGTGAAAGAGAGGGGCAGATGTTGATGATCAGTGCCACTGGTTAGCTGTTCATGTTGATCCAAACTCCTCCACTTTTCCTCCATGTATCTCAGTATTAAGTTTGACAGCCTAGTATTTGTGCTATCAGCTAGTGAGGGTAGCTACAACTATTACTGCTATTAAAACAAAGGTTTACAGGTAGACTGCACCCCAGGATCACCGCTGCTGTTGGTTAAAATCTGTGATTGAGATTAAATGTTTGCAGTTCTTGGGGTCTTCGCTGTATTTGTGTGTGTGTGTGTGTGTGTGTGTGTGTGTGTGTGTGTATAAGATGTATTTTGTTAAACACTAGATTATCAGTTAAAAACCCCTCTGGTGGTTCTGTGCAGAACTTATCCACCTTGTAAGGGTGTTAACAAGAACCCAAACAGGGGGTTCTACTAAGAAACCTTATATATCACAATGGTTTCATCGAGAACCCACCCAGGAAATAGTAACTGACTACATTACTAATAGAGCTCTCTTCCAGTAACCATGGTTTTGGTTTAATGGGTTAGCTGTGGCCAAGGGAACCACATCCAGCAGCTTTGGGTTACATGAGGTTTCTAAAGAGCCGAGACTGATATGGTCCAGAGCAACCAACAGCACTCATGGTTCACAATCATGCTTTTAGAGGGGGGATATTTTACTAGGGTTGGGAACCAAAACTGCCACTCAAAATTAGAACCGAATACAAAATGCCAAGTATGGAGTACCTGTTATTTAAAAAAAAAGAGTCATGAATGATGGCAGAATTAACACAAATTTATGTTATTAAGGGGTTTCCAGATATATACAATAAAAATAAAGCTTGACACATGGATAAATATTTGAACGTATGCAACAATCAACCGTTCAACAATCCTTGAAGAACTCTTTCGTCCAAAATGGTTCTTTGGATGAAAAGGGTTTTTAGTGGAACCCTCAGTCTTACAAAGAGCCCTTAAAAAGGGTCCTTGAGGAGCAAACAGCTCTGGGTGGAACAGCGAGGATGAGCTGAGGGAGGAGTAAAGTAGCTACTGCACTTCCTGTCCGCCCGGCTTGTAATATCTGTTGTAAATCTGATGTGGTTTGAAATGGGTTTAGGCACGGTCATAATTTCTATTGTCACTTCCACGCTCGTCCACTAATCTGTACTTTTGGCAGTGGTAATCTCTCGTCTCCATGGGGATTTATTGTTGTAGTCCGTGAATGTCGTTGCCATGGAAACCAGTTCCTCCTGTCCCTGTTCTGCCCTTTCAGAGCAGGGTGGGCGTGGATGTGTGTGTTTTTCTTGTTACGCTGAGACTTGTCATGTCAGCTTTTATCAGATGGTGAAAGAGCACCAATGTGAAACCACTGAAGCCAGAAAGATAACTCCATCTTTTCTCTCCATTTCTTGACTTTTGCACTCAAGTCCCGTGCCTATAAAATTTTATCTCTCGACCACAGGCCAGGTCAGGAAGTTGTGGTTACTATGACGACAACCGCAAAAAGCCAGACAGGCACCAATCAAGTAGTAAACGGGAGAGCTTTAGTGTTTGTATTAGTGTAATGTGTTGTTTGTGACAGGGTGAGCGGTAAAAAAAAGGGTAAATGTGGAAATGAGGACATGGTCCACTGAGATTTTTAGTCAAAACTGAAAAATCTGGTGGGCGAAATGTCTTAATGTTTTCTTTCCTTAGAAAAATACAGTTGCAAAATATTGCCAAGAATCTGAGGCAGTGGCTCAGTGTTGTAGAGATTGCCCATGCTAGTGTCCATTAGTAGTCTGGCAAAGTAGGCATGGACAGTAGATGTGGTCTTTCCTCTCTCATTTCTCCTTCATCCATCCATCTTTCACCTCTCTCCATCTCTCTTTCTCCATCACTCCCCTTGCCTCGGCTCTGCTCTTCTCTTTCACACACTTCCTCTTCACCGTCTCCACCCCCACCCTCTCGCTTTCTGCCCTTGTTTCTCTGAGCGTCAGTCCCGAGGGAAGCAGACTTCGAGCTCAGAGGGAGAGACGAGAGAGGATGGAAAAGAGAAAATGGCAACGATGGTTTGTAGGGCAGGCTTTTTGCTAAGAGGTGGGAGGTGAAGGAAAGACACATAACAGGCAAAAAGACAGAAAAAGAGTAAAAGAAAGTGAGAACAAATAGAAGGGAAACAGGAGGTGTGGAAAAGAGAGCAACAGAAGCAGCTAAAGGTAAGGCCGTTAGTTCAACCATTCATTCAACCATTCATTTGAAAAATACTAACAGGTGTTGAAAGGCTAGATTAAGTGTCTGTGTAGGGCAGCAGTAAAATCTGGAACTGTTTACTGAGATAAAGGTTAAAGGGTCCCATCAGTGTCTTTGCCACTCCCCGTGTAGGTTAATTTTTCATCTTTGCTGTGACAGTCATGTGTTCATCGAATACTTCCAGCAGGTGGAATTTGTGTCAAGAAAACATCATAATCTGATTGGAGTTAAGCAAATAATACGATTAAAGAATGCTAACTAGAACTAAAATAAATACTGATAAGCTGCTTTCAAGAGTAGCCAGCGAATATGTAAGCTCATAGATGATGATAAGATGAGGAAATGAGTTGGGTTGATATGCTAAATGAGAGAAACAGCTGGAGTAAAAGATCAGTGTTGTTGAATCAGAAGAAACATATACACAAACACAGAGATACCTCGTCTCAATCTGCAGGCTTTTCTCTGCCTGTTTGGACCGCTGGGTTACTTGAACGCAGCTAATTGCCTGTGAAATAGTCGGATAAAACGTTTAACAACACACACGTTGAGCAGTACTCGCCTCTAGATTATGGATGTCAATGGATAGCCTAACTGTTAATTGGTAAACTGCCGAGAGTAATTTTTACCAGTTAGAGCTTGTTGGTATTTGACAGTTACATATGGAATTCTAAGGACATATGCTGCGTTCGTTTTGTACTCGGAGGTCGGAAGTCAGAATGACGTCACCTCCGAGTTGACAACAGTTTTTGCATTCTAGTTGACGACGGTGGACAAGTCGGAAAAAAACATGGACGCCCGCAAGAAAGCCTTTGTTGCCCAATAGACAGCTTCAAAACCATCATGCACTCCAACTGATGAATGCCGCAGATGAGGCTGACTTTATGTTAAACAAATAAGATAAATTTGCTATAAACAGTACTTTAGCAGAGTGTTTACTCACTATGTGACCGGCAATCATCTTGAATTCGTAAGTCGGGGTTGATGCGGTTGCTCCGAGTTGGAAATCCGATCTCAGGGTGCGTTCAAGTTTAAACTTCCGACTGGGAACTGGGAATTTCCGACCTCCGAGTACAAAACGAATGCACCAATAAAGCACACCTGAATAGGCCTTGGTAATACTTGGATATTATACCAATATCTCGAGATTTTGGATATCATAATGTATCGAGAGTGTTGTGTTTTCCTGGTTTTAAAGGCTAAATTACAGTAAAACGGTGTAATTCTCCAACTAGGGATGTTAATATTTTTTTATTCTACAGGTTAATTTTCTACTCTTACGTTTACTGCACTGTGCACCACCTGGGTCTGGTGGGAGCTAGCTATTGGTGCAGCTCATTTGACAATTACCACTAGTATCACAGTGTCAACCCAAGAGCGTTGCCATGGAAACATAGTGCGCAGCCTCTGGTCTCACCCCAGGTTGCTCTGTCGAGTATCGGCTCAATCTTTAGCTGCAAGCCCCCTTTAGTATTGTCACTAATAATTATCACTGTTAGCTCTATTTGCGCAGTTAGCAGCGTCAACACAGCTAGTGGTGCTAACGTAGTTAACAATGCTTAAGGGGTTTTAGGGTTCAAAGATGACTTCTCACCTGGGCAATGTAGGGGAGAGCGGCGGGTGGCCACCATGTTTCCTCAGCATCAAGGTCCTGGTGGGGGAGGTGGCATTACTAAAGGTAATCGCAGAGTAAGCATCGCTGCTACTTAACTCCAGAAAAAAATGCCCTACATATTCTACCTAACTCGTCCTCGGATTGGCTTACCCTGACATTCTTATCCTAACCGTAACCAATCCTACTCATCTTACTCAACCAACAAAGGCAACAAGTATTAGCCAATCATAGAGAGGGTAAGATGGGTCATTCCTTGGTTATCCTGGGATTTGCGAATTTGCTCGCAAAGGCTAACGTCAGCTACCCATTGGAGACCAGAGGTGGTCACTGTATTTCTGCAGCAATGCTGTTCGGCAACTGGTTGGGAATTGGTTGGGACAGTGTTACCAGCGATTATCACTGACTGAGTGGCCCAGCTAGCTACCTTCTGCCCAGCTGGTGAGCAGTGCAGAGCAGCTAGCTAACTAGTGGAAACCAGAGGGCGGGCAGTGGGCACTATGTTTCCTCATGTTAACGTGACAAGCTGGCTGGCTGTCAGCAAAGCCAACATGAAATAAAATGAAAGGCAAGACAGTTCAGTCACAAAATGTTGAAATTTTAGACCTATAAATGGATAACCTTTGAAATGCGGTTAACTTCGTTCCGGCGAGTAAAACGAAAGGCCTCTTGTATGTCAGGTCATTTTGCATTCTTAAAACTTACTAGTTAGATATTGTTTAATGGGTGTCGGGCTATCGAAAGCAAAACTAACCAAAACTGACAACCCTACTCTGGAAAGATGTGAAGAGACTTTCTTGAAGGAACAAAAATTAAAAAACACATAACATCTGACAAAAGTTCAACTACTTTCATACAGGAGAAGAATTTAAGAATACAGTACTGTGTTGAATGCCAGCTCCCTAACATTGACTTACATTAGATACTATACAGATGTTTTTATTGCCGTAAACCATTCAGTGTGTGCATATGTGTATATATGAAGAGAGGCTATAATAATGTCACTGGTATTTTTTATATGGACTGTGGGAAGAAGAGAGACAGAGGAGGGGTTTAGGGGGAGATAATGCGAGTGGAGGGGGATTGAAAGGGGGCCCGGAAGAAAGGGATTGAGAGAGGAGAGAGAGATGAGTGAAAAAGAGAAAGAGGCACCCCAGGCTGGAGAGTAGAAGATAGAAAGAGACGGAAAGAGAGGCGAGGGTGAGTTAGAAAGTTGTGAGAGAGGTAGAACAAGGTTCCTGGTGTAGTGAGAGAGGGGCCGGTTTAAAGCAGGCCTAAGAGACCGTGACGAACATCTTGCAAAAAAACGCTGCATTCTGATGCCAACTCACACAAACACACACATAGATACACTGCTGGCTGGTCCATTGAGAAACACAGTGTGTCAGAGGAGTGGGAACTGCAGTGAGTAGGTAGTAACAGACCTGCTTTGATGACTCTACTTAAGGGTTCGGAGAATGACGGAGCAGATTGAACCAAATCCATCGTCTCGCACGCGGGGACAAAAATATGCTCAAGTTGATTTAAAATGTATTTGGGTCCCCTGCGCAGATGGCAGCCTGCACACTTCAAACATCTCACAAATGGTTGCACATTTAAAACCCTGTGTAACAGTGTCATCGTGCCTGCACTGTACACAGCTACACTTTCGTCAGTGCCAAGGTGGATTTAATTTAGCAGGGTCATTAAGAATCATCCTACTTGAGTCATGAATGTCAGCAGCAGTCGAGGTGGAAAAAAATAAGTGTCAGTACTCCTTGTAGTCACGTTGGCGTGTGTCTTTGGGGGGGGGGGGGGGGGGCGTGGGGGGGGGGGGGGGGGGGGGGGGGGTTAAACCAATAGAGTCGTTTTATGAGTCGGTTCAGTAGCAGCAGGTGAATAAGATGAACTGGGTCACTTAAAAGAACTGATGATTTCATTGGTAGCTGCAGGTGGTTTTGCTGATGCTAGCGTTACATCAACAGGAGTGGCACTAACATTAGCTTGCTGCTGCTAGCGTGCATTTAGCATAATATAATTTGACTTTCAAAGCTCTGTTGCATCGTTTTATGACTTAGTGTGTGTTCTCTTTGTGTTGTCCTCGGAGTCAGACCAACTGTACTGTACTGTAGCATTACTCAGACTAGCAGCCAATAGAGAAAAGCAGGCAGGCAAGAACGGGAACAGGTGAGCGTACCGTAGTAGCCCCTGGGTAGCCTGTGTACTGCCCCCAGTGTCCCCTGGGTGATGCAGTTTATTAGAGGAGCTATTATGAATTGCATCTGAATTGAACATGGAGAGAGCAGAAAAGATCCGGGCAGCTTGTGAGAAGTTCGGGTTTTCAAGATAAAGTCACGGTACACCAAAGAGTAAAATGTAGATGGCCATGTTTCCCACACATTAATTTATTTTTGGTGGCTTGCCACGATATCAACATTTGCTGCTACATGTTTATTTTCTATTTCTGGAACTGGACCATTAGATCGGAACGCTCTTGGAATTCAGAGCACCACACTTTTATAACGCAGAGCATGGGCAGCTGACAGAGCAGGAGAACACCACGTGCCACGAACGTGAAACTTAACCGTTGATTAATACATGTAGAAATAAAGCTCTCTATTTCATAGACAAACTGTGCTCTAATTTTAGTGTTGTCCATCATGTTTCCAGCCTACTTCAGATGAAACTGGTTGCTTTTTCATTAAAAACTGTTCAACCCGTGGTCCAGCACCAGCTCTAAAAGTTTGCTTTCACTCTCCTCTGCAGCGACTGCTCCTCTAATCCATCAGTCCAATCACCTCTGCTTGAACCAACCACAGACTGACTGGCTGATAAATTCTCTACCCTGCGACTCAAACTTGACAAACTGCTGCTGAGGGGAAAAAAACCTCCTGCACTGCATTCACAGAACAGCAAAACCCTTGGAAGTCAGAGTGGACGCTGCGTACCACTGACCCACTTTGCGCACTGAACGTCTGTTCAAAAATGTGTAGGTTACGTAAAGATACTCTATCGGATAAGTAAAACGTTGACCTGCTGGTGGCGCTAGATGGAAAGTCAGAGGATCGCCAAAGTCCTTACGTTTCATCGTCAGAGGATCATGACTGCAGCACATTTCTTGGTCACACACAGTGTTATCTTGCCTCTCTGACATTTGCACACACCTACAAACACACCTCTCTCTCCATCCCCCCCCCCCCCCCC